CCTTTTTCCGCTATCGGCATTGGTATGAACATTTATAAAACTAAACGAGGCGGTTTTTTGTTGTAACCATCATATATCAGTAACAACCACAAATTTAATTGAAATATACACGTAACATTGACAATGAATAAACCATGTATAAAACCTCATTTAACTTGAGATTTAACTTCTAGCTTTTCAAACATATCGTCAGACGCAACTACTATTATTTTATGGGCAATGTTGTTGTCGATACATTTGTTTAAACACGGTTCGGGTTCTATATTGGACTGGTGTAAGGCTGTAAGGGATTTAGGTAAACGTTAGTGTTAAAATTATAAAAATGAAATCTGCCAATTTATTACCCAACTTGTAGCTCATATGTAACCCCTTACCTGTCCTTCCAGTTTCCTCCCGTGGTAAGTACGGTCGGATGAGTCCTGGCTTTATGTTTAGGTACCGTTCATGTTAGGGACATCAAAGACTCGGTAATCGCTCTGTTTTAAGGGTATAATCAATTTGTTTTCAAAACATTTTCTTCCGAAATAAAGGGATTACACAACAGACTTAGTCTGAATAAGTTTTCATTCATTCAAGTTACAGCATGTGATGCATGTACATATCAATATTTAACACAGGGCGTGGGATGGACAGGTGATATATTGATAATATAGATTTTAGGAATAGTAAGTCGAATTGTTAATTTAAATTAGGTTTGAAAAACAGTTACTAGATTGATAGAAAAATAAGATATGAATAGGTGTAATAATTACAAATATCAACATTAACACTCCAACACTACACGTGTAAGGGCATATGCTACTATATTCAACATTCGTGTTATTTGTGTTAGAGTTACTTCCCTTAGGGTAAAGTACCTCGCATCATTAGCTTTATGAAATTATTCAAGCATTTTCAATTAACTACTAGTGATAAACCCAATTCATCAATCATGCGGATCATTTTGCCCTTTTTCGTGGCATGGCCAAGTGTTATCCGATTTTCGCTTATGTCACATGAAGCGCTTACGTCAATGACTTCTTCTTCCAAAAAGGCCAGTCTTTCGCCCTATAACTTCCCTGTAAGCTGGTATCATTTTGAAAATTAAAGTTTGACGTACTATATGAGAAGACATAACGACAGAAGAAACGTTGTCAGCGTGATTCGAACCTATGACTATTCGATCGATACCCTGCCTTAACCAGTACCCTTCAGATAGGCCATTCCTTGTAAAACATTAGTTGTATTTTTGAGTGTTNGTCTTTTCTTCAATGAAGATTTTTTTTTTTTTATCACAGGAGGATACACCCTTAACATGACAATAGTTGTTGGTAATAAACTCCGTGGTAAAATATAAACTTTAGACTCACTTCGAGACAGAGAACATGAGGCACTGAACGGCAGACACACGATATGCTTGTACTGACTCCGGCTAGCTAGCCACCCACTATCTTAACAAGTCTCTGAGCATCCTCATAACGCAGGTCAGATTTCTCACACTCGAGTAAACCTTTATACTTTATCATTATATGAACTAAAAAACTGCTTCTAAATCGGTGTAAAAGTAACCCACTCCACCCCAAAGAAAATAGATACATAAATAGAAAAGGCATAGGTACTCGCACGTCTATACAGGCGTATAGACGTAATTACATGTACACTTATATAGCTACCTACTCCCGTTCGTAGGTAAATACACAGGTAAAGTAGCATACACTTACGTAAGCACGAACGCGTACTTACACGTATATCATTACATAGGTGCATTTGCGGGGTTTGTTTCATACCCTTAGATATGTACATACACGTGCAGACACGTACCTAGACACCTGCATGCATGGTTACATTCAAGTGTATAGATACCTATACCTAACGTTACATACACCCGCATAGGCACGACAATGGATCAGCCTTACAAAGTTAAAGCTAATAGTTTTTGTTTTCCTAATTGGAAATTATAATCAAGATCGGTTACAAAGATTTACATATTAACATTCAACATGGCGACAGGATACAACTAAAAACAAAACGGGCACATATCTAATACAATAACGCAATCAAATGGCAAACTCTACATACGGTATTTGAATTTTAACGATATATGAAATATGTTTAATGAGTTTTATTTTCCATGAGATTGAGTTACTTGACAATTGCTCAAAGTTTTATGTATCGTAATATTCATGCAAGACGAATGCCACTGCATAGTTTCTAGCTACAACTACACAAATGTGACTTACAATACATGGATATTCAATTCATACAATTCAAGGTAGTCAATTCCATTATTACAATCCGAGGATTTCATGGAACCTTTTTATCAAGAGCTAATTACTGTTCCTATGCTACATGGATAATTATCTCCACAAGTGTGCACTGAGCAAAGCATATTCTTGATTTTACCCACTGCATGGTGTAAGAGGCAATGCGAGAGGCGACTAATGTTGGAACCATATCAGAATTGGGGGTCTGTTTTAGTGCTCTCTTCCTGGGGATGCAAGAAGACCAAATAATTTTGCTATACTTATTGAATAACTTAAGATTTTATATTTCTTCTTGCTTAGCAATACCTCACATTTATCTTTAGTGTTTCACGTTCGCCCAAGTGAGGAAGGCAAAAGATTGTGTCCTCAGGCCGGAACATAACGAAGTCCTGAAGTAATGGTAACTTAAGGGAAAAGGTCAGGCAGCCCTTCATCATTCAACATCTTCAGAATGTGACAAACCGGTTTCAAGACACTGAGTTTATATATTCAATCTGGCGATCTTGGACAAAACAACTCTGTTTGAGCCATGCTCCTTCCAATAATTGACAGAAATTAAGTGTATGGGCAACCACTTCGGTATCGATGGTCGAATGGACAGACTTTCTCAATTTTGATAACCGACGAGATGGTTTCCGAGACATCCTGGCATGCATCAAACGTTTCCATGGAGAGAATAAACTAGGACTGAAGGTATTCTTACCCACCATGGCTCACCTCTATGCAACGACTAGCCCGAGTTTCCTCTGGCTCCTACACCAGACTTAGACAATTTGACAGATATATGTCTGGTCTGGTGTCAAAGGAAACTCGGGCTATTCAACGGCATGTGCTATTCCATCAAGCACAGCTAAGGTAGAGAGAGTCTTTCCCAGGTTATATATTTTAAGACTTAACATAGTATCAGGATGAGCCAGGATAATTGAACTTTTCGTCGGAGATGTTCAAGTCCTTCTTCCTACAGCAGCAAGAAAATAACTATATGCGAAAGAAGAAGACTGCCTTCCATTGTTGCTGAGCACATTTGAGACTCTCTACATCAGCAAACAACTGACACAACACTCATTGTGCCCATAGTAATCACTTGTTAATTGATCTTTTTCTCATATTTTTTTTTCTTTTCTTATAAATTGATATTTTATCACTACAAGTTCTTATCTTCTTACTTCTTTGGCAACTTTAAAGGACCATATTTCCACCCAGTCGACACCTGTGTGTAAAACATATTCTGATGATGTGTCAGCCATAGTGATCAAAGTGGGATTATTTTAATTTGAGAAATGAGTATGTGATATATATCTCATCTCATTTATGCCAAATATTTGTTGAGCCATCACAGTATAAAAGGCAGCTGTCTGAGTGCCTGTGACAGTGCTATCTGGTTTTGTTTGAGGTGCTACTCTTGATTGAGATTGAATGAAATAGAGTTCATGTTACATGTTAGATAATACCGTTGATAGTTTTTACCTATGAAAATATTCATGAAATGATCACGATCTTGTTTCTCGTCATTCTTTCAAACTTATGCAAAGTTCATTTAAGCCCATGGACATAACCAACGTCTTTTAGAAAAAACAAATTTCAGAAAAAGGAAAAGATGAACAATTTGTATATACCAGTATTATCATTGAATATAATGGTCAGGATTTGTAAATTTATGATGGACGCAGATGTCTGAATAACTCTGCAGTAATGGACACAATACAAGTCATAAAGATATTAATATTCAAAAGAAATCAAGACAACATTCAGGCTGACAATACAGTCCTAGGTGTGCACTAGACCTGCATATGACAAGGAGGAAATCGATGATGAACACGTGTGATTGAAGATAATGCGACTGAAAAACATGCCCTCAAACCCTGATAGCGCGCGCAATAAATGCCTTTTTCGGTCAGTAGCATGCCCTTTTCAAATTCTACCCGGAATACTGAGTAGCACTGTACTGGGTGCATTAAACATGGACTTTCAGTGAGGTAACACTCTTAAGTCGGCATCAGATCCGAGCAATTGCAAGGATGCAAGTACACCAACATACCACATCAAGTACACACTTACACACATAACACCTCTAGCACACACATACATAACACCTCTAGTACACACATGCACACATAACACCTCTAGTACACACATACACACATAACACACATGGAGACACATATCAAACTGACGGTTATAGCTGTAATAGCACGCATCCCAATACATCTAAACTAAAAACCAGCACTTCAGGTGCGTGCGTGTCCGCATAGGTGCTGGAGGTGTAGTAAGGATGTTTCATCGAGCCACATCACTTGAACATTATGGCACAGTGCACAAATACTGAAGAACCCACGTAAAGCAATGCTTTATTCACCTGTAACACTAGAAGAATGTGGATAGAAGAAAAACACTTTCTCTAAAAGTACAGTATACAACAATTTCGGGAATTGAACCCGATTGTTTGCATGGAAACCCGACGTGTTCACCACTCCAGATGAGTCCGTCGAATACAAACATTCATGGTCAATATGAAAGTCAGCAGGAAATGTACAGATTGAACTGGATGTAGAGTCTTCCATTTTGTTATTTGTTTTCAGATGAGATTCATTTAGTGCATGTATGTACAAATATGATAATTTGATAAAATACTATCGGTCAACCAGCGATCAGTGGCAAATCGTTATAATTCAGTGTTTATAATAACATGTATAACTTGCATGTTTCTTTTAAAATGTATTCATGCAATATTGTTACTTGCTATTTTTTGTCTTGCAGCCCGCCACGTCTATACCAACATATACAGTCACAACAATACTGGTAAGTACGACCATCTGTCCAGGGAGGCTGTGTTGAGTGTCGAGACTTGACTTGTTGATAGTTTCATATGAGTTATGAAAGTAACAAGAAAGTAGGTTTGAACACAGAATCCTTTTCATAAATGCAGGCCCAGGTATTCCCAAAGATAAGCGTCGTCTTCTTCATCGATAACACCCGCTAAGTTCAGCTATCAATATATTTATAAACGACAACGGCTCCACAACGTAGATTTTCACAGGATTGACATATTTTTTTTTAATAATTGATTAAGAATTAGAAATGAAAGAAATTAGGTAGATGGCGATTGCTAAATATATTACGTTGCATTATTTGTAGCATGAGCCGTATACGATGTTGAACCCCAAGTCCACAGACAGCTCTACTAAATACATTGGTATTGTTAAGGATATCCTCGACAGAATCAGCCATATACTCAACGTAAACTTCAAATTCGTCCATGTTGGTGACAACGCATTCGGTCGACAAATCAACGACTCTGGAAACTGGACTGGCATGATCGGCGAGCTTCTTCGTAAAGTAAGTATATAAACGTATTGTTCTATATGTAGTTTGCATTTTCCTGAGGTAATGGCCTCAACTCTTGACTGAACTGGTCACACTTACCATTGCACATAGCCAAGTAACATTTACGACTTTATCTTTCCACCTCGGACGGAATAGCCGCAGCAATTGTCCATGACGATTAAAAGACTGAGGTCATGGAAAAGTATCGGAGATTACAAATATATAAACCTAGTTCATTCATCTCGAGACTCTGAATGATACTCTCAGATGATTTGATGACGTCATTCATGACAAATGAATCTGTTTTCCCCTAGGAAGCTGATATAGCGGCGTCTGCATTGACAGTATCTGCTGAACGCGCCAAGAAGGTCCATTTCTCACAGATGTTCACCGACACTGGATTGAGCATCCTATTAAAGAAACCACAGAAACACGCCCAATCACATAACTCCGCCTCTCTCCCATTCTGTCCATTCACGGTTGGAATATGGGCGTCAATCATCGTTGCATACATCATTGTGTCACTGGTGCTGTACGTAATTAGCAGGTAGGGTCACGTGGATATTTGATACCTTTACTTAAGTGCACGACCGGAACTACCGTAGAGAATTATGTGATTGCGCCTCAAATATGTCCTCTGACCACAGCCAATGCTTCCGGTTCGTTGTACACGAATGTGATGCATTTCTAAGCTTTTATGCTCGTTTTTAAATGAGTTATTATTTCTTTCATGTGAATGAAAGGAATCTTTATGTCACACCAATATAAAGCATGATACGTCTCCCGTTAATAAACATGGTTGATTAATTTGTGTGAATGTCATCATGGCTTAATGATACGGTATGTTGTTAGGCCCCTGAGCATGGGTTTCAGCTCACCACAAATGTGTCCTGGATAGCTGTACAAAACCTATAAAGATCAGGTATCGAGCACTGTGTAAAGCATTTTTCTTTGGTAAGAACACATAGGGAAATTAATTGTGGTCTGAGTCCCCGTCTGCTCGTCTTTCCGCCCGATCTTTGATTGTGTACGTTAGAGCGTGTCGGGCTGACCGTATCAGTACGGCTGTTACTTGTAGACTAAGGTCCCCTGTCACTATTTAAAAATATTTAAAAGTATAAACTTAAGTACATATTATGTCTTTTTTATGAATACAGGATGAATCCAGAGGAGCGAGCGGCTGATCGAGGAGAAGATCACATTACAATATGTACCGCCTTCTTCGTGACGCTCAGCATGCTCTCCCTGCAGGGTTTGTAGAATGACCGTGGCCACACGCTGATCAATAGCGTCCCGTGCTATATTTTTCATTTATTGCTTTAATAATAAAAAAAATAAAAAAAAAATCAACACAACTCTAACATGACATGTGCTGTTTCATCAGTATTTCAGGGGAAAACATCGGCCAATATGGTAAAAGTCTTTTTATACAGCAACTTTGAACAGTATGAAAAAAGCGGACATAAAATGGCATCTCTATCTATTTGGAACATTTCTGACAAAAAGCAATGAGCGTTAAGTCCTGGAAGTGGCAAAGAAATGCTGAACTATCGTTTGTTCTTGACAAATCTAGCTAAGAATCGCGAATGACCTCACAGGTTGAGAAGTGGAGGGGTAAGTATACATAGACATGTCTACAGACATGTGTTTGGTACTCAAAATGAGCAGAATGTGCAGAATATGATTTCTGTATCTTTGGAACAGGTTACGAATGCGTTATATATCATGAATTCCTTGCTTTGATTAAAAAGACGCTTTTAGCAGTAAAACACATTTTTTTCCTAAAAAATCTTTTGGTTTCGGTTTAAGATGGCAATCGAGTTTCAGAAGAATTCTTTCAATTGTAATTGCAGATGTCTACAGCAGAATTACAATAAAAACAAAAAAAATAAATATAAAGAGCTGTAGCCAGACCCAGAAACAAGAAGATAATGAAATTTTCGTCATCGGTTCCTTAAAGTGGAGGCCGTTCATAGGTTTTGCTGGTTGGCCAATTTCTTTTTTATCTACGATCTTAACGTTAAGATATTCTTAAAGGAAATGAAAATAAAATGAAATGGAATCTGTTCCTTTTCATAAACTGAGTTTAAGAATATAACAAGAACGTTATTGTTTCAAATACCTTTAAGCAGTATAACAATTGTCATCATACATAGCACTTAGTGAATATTTTTGCTCTTGTAACATCAATAACCTCATGGAAGCAACACTGCTTTTCATGCAGTCATGACATTTCCGAAGCACGTGCCGAAACCCCATTAGCCTCTTAAACCGAATCACCGACATATCCATTTAGCAGGATTAAAACGATATATGACTGGTTAAAGGGTTCTTTGTATTATATAGTGCAATTATTAGCCTCTTCCTTAAATGTATTCTGTACATTGCAATAGATTATAATTTGAGGGAAATGATCGCAAAACGTAAATACCGACAGTGTCCTTGAGAGGTTGTAAACTTCATATGGAAAATGCACAGCGCACAGAACATTTCCCCAAACCGTGCACAACATTTTGGGAACCAATTCATGTTGAAAAGAAAAAGGAATTTGTATTTTTTTGTATCGCTTCAGTGCCGCACACCTTATACTGATACCCCGATTATGAGGAGAAACACGGTGAAAGAGACGCTAGAAAATACCATGTCGTGAATATATGAGGAATACTGTTAATGCTGCAAAATAATACTATTTTTACCTTAATTCCATTTAATGTTTAAAGCTATATTTGGTGGTTAAATCTTTTGAAGTATTCAGTAAACAGGGGGAAAACATAAAAATACAAACATTGGTCATTAAATAAATCAAAATTTAAATTGCTACAGAAGTTTCTAAGTTGACAAAGAATAATATTTGCCCTTTTATCACCTTCAGTTTTAAAAAATTAAGGTTGATTCATTATCGATAATAATATCTTGATTCAACTGTGTTTAAAGGTTGCAAGAGTTGGGGAGTTTAAGAGTATTGAGGTGACAGCCCATGCATTATTTTATACACCATTATGCGTGTGTGTATTTCTTCTTGTTGACAGAGCTTCCCAACCAAGTTCATTATAAAGTTTATTATGAGATGTTCCAGATCGAAATCCAGTAATGTTTCTGGCTGCTTCTAATGGAATAGATTCTGGAAGTTCTTTAGATTGTTGAGTGTAATTATCCCATACTATGTCTGCATATTCCAAAATTGGCCTAATAAATGCTATATAAATTTTGATTAATGATTTACGATTAACTTTAGATTTAATGTAACGAAGAATTTTTAATCTATTATATGCTTTTTCATATATATTCAGAATGTGTTGTTTTCCAAGATGCATCATCCTTTAAAGTCAGTCCTAAGTGTGTATGTGCTGTTGAGTCAGTGATTTGGCTGCTTTGTAAAGTTATTTGAGGGTGATGTTTGTTATGTTTTCTAGAAAATATTACAGATTTAGTTTTGTTAAGGTTGAATTTGATGTCCCATATACCTGCCCATTCACCAATGTTAGAGAGATCATTTGTTAGAACTTGTGCTGCATGTGCTGGGTTTTCATCTATAATTACATATAAGGAGGTGTCATCTCCAAAAGGCTTAATATTAGTTGAAACATTGTCAGTGACGTCAGTAATATAAAGGAGAAATAGTAAAGGTCCAAAATTGCTAACAATTTCATTACCGTTCAATAAGGTTTCGAAAATATCTCCGAATTAGCCGTGTTAACCCACATTTGAGGTTGCATTTTTTCGTGAATACAACTCTGGTTGTAAATGAAAAGTGATTAAAAAACATGCTTTGATAATGAAGTTATCAATCAATAAATTAATTTAAAGCATTTGATATATTTTAACATAGGCAACACACTGTATAATGCTTTAAACTAAGATGTCAATCCAGATTGATAGTCAATTTTGTTTTCAATGACATGATTCTGATGCCTTTTTTGACTGTATTTTACTTCCTTTTAGTACTGTTATAATTCTATTTCCCATTCTTAATGTTATACCATAGGTTAGTAAAACACTTAAACGTTAAATGGGATTTTCGGTATTTTCTTATTCCCACAAATGGCGTAAAGCATTTCCCCTGAGATTGAGTTTGGCAGATGTATATTTCAGTCATAATACAGATATCAATCTTTTGAAAAAAGAAATGACCAAAAAATAACAGATATAATATTAATAAGTTATTTGGCAACTACCTGTTCTTTGAAATGTATGCTGATTTAAGTTGAATGACCGGACAAAGTAAAGCAGCACAATATTTTTAGTTTTGTGTTATATTCGAGTTACACCAGCCATAGAATACAGTCATGAAATGTTGATTGTCTCAGTTGGTTGTCGACTCTATTGTCATAATTCTGTTTTAATTCCTCCTCTGTTTGCCTACAGGATTCCGTTTGACGCCTACGTCTCTGGCTGGACGGACGTTGGTCTGCTTCTGGTGGATGTTTGCGCTTGTTACAGTCGTCATGTATACTTCCAGCCTCACATCCATGTTGTTTCTGAAGTTTCCTGACGTCGAGGACCCCCTTCCTTTCTACACATTTGAGCAAATGACCAAACAGACTAAGATAGAGTACGGTACCCTGATGTCTGGTTCCACGAGACACTACTTTAAAACGTTCCCCGGGGCAACCGAAAAAGTTATAAACCAATACTGGAACAACCGCCATGACCTTTTGGTGTCGTCAATAGAAGAAGGAGTAGCCCGGGTTAGGAACAGTAATGGAGACTACGCTTTTGTCATGGAGAGTGAGATGTCGTATTACCTAGTGGCCCAGACTTGTGACTTGGCTGTGACAGCCGGAGGCGAAAATAGGGCGGAACGGTCGTACGCTTTCGCCTGCCGTCCAGATATTGATATTTGTCGTCAATTAGACCATGCCATTATCCAGATGAAAGAAAACGGTGAACTCCGTCCGATCATGGATAAGTGGATAAGTGGACCATGCGGGCGTTATGTCGATTTATCGTCGCCTTTACATTATGTCCCGCCGACGATGGACGCTTACATGGACGTGAAACACATGGATATGACGCGCTTCACTGTTCCACTGGTTGCCATGGCCTTCGGGGTCATCCTTAGCGCCCTGTTAGCGGTAGTAGAGATATACCGATCCAAGGCCAGGGGGGTAAGTCATCGTGAAAGACAATATATTGCAGGCTATCATTACAAATTGGGGGTGGTTTGTTTCGGATTTAACGTTCCCACTACAGCCTTATGAAGCTATCTTTTGTTTAAATGCACACAAAAACGTATATTGTAGGCACCCGTGACACAGTTGCTTCTATACCTAAAGAAACATTTTCTTCAGGTTGGTAAGTATGGATTATGAGAAGTTCTTTTTACACAACCAATAACATTTTCTATGTGGCGTTTCGATGACTAGTAAGACATGTACACTGTCACCTTCACCAGACAAATGACCAATGAAGCGTATGCGCACAAGGTGTAAAATGTGTAAGAGTTGTCTATAAAATCGATGTCGATTTCGGCTACGCTGGAAACGTATGTACTATAGTTGTTAAATATGTACCGAAATGACTCAATTAAGCTACGCTTTGTTAACAATTGGTCATAGATGTGCGAGAGTCTTTGAGCCCCCTCGTCTCGATTTAGAACTGGCCCACTGCGGCATATCCAGTTGGCTTCCTTTATCTGCCGCTTGAACAGATTGCTCTCTCTGTCCAAAATTTTGGAGTTATCCCAGTCAATCACATGGTTTTTCTGTGTGGCATGGTCTGTGATTGCCGATTTATTACCTGGGACTCCGACTGTTTTCTTTATGACCTGGTGAATTTCCTACTTTCTTGGGTTTCTGTATATTTCCGGTCTTCACCAAGGCGGACCCCAAATCGCCTTCCAGTCTCTCCAATTCACAACTCGTCGCAGTTTTTGCATCCGATTTTTGTATACGCATTCTGCGACGTTTTCTTTAGGTGTTTTATCCTTAGGGTGAACTAGGATATTGCGAAGCGACTTGTGGGGCTTCATTGCTGTTGCTATGCCATGACCGCGATATATCCTCTGGATGGTTTCGGATATACCCTTTATATACGGGATAACCACTTGACCTTTGGTTTTGTTCTTATCTTTGATTGGCCTTTCTTGTTCCTCTCCTTACCTAGACTTTTTTTTTACCCGTTTTAGGGCCCATTCCGGATATGCACATGTGAGTCATTTCGGTACATATATACCAACTATTGTACATACGTTTCCAGAGTACCCTAATTCGACATCGATTTTATGGACAACTCGTACACATTTTACACCTTTGTGTGCATACGCTTCATTGGTCATTTGTCTGATGAAGGTGACAGTGTACATATTGTACTAGTCATCGAAACGTCACATAGACAATTGTATTGGTTGTGTAAAAAGAACTTCTCATAAAACATGCGTTATGTTTAAATCGATTGTGCACAGATACCCGTTACAGCTGAACCTGTCGCACAAAAGCCCGAAGATTAATTATATCTATTTTATGTATTGTGTGATATAGATAACCCGTGAAACATCTGTTCGTTTACCAAAAGATAAATTATATTGTTGTTGTTGCGTGTGTTGTAGATAAGCCGAGGTTCACGTGTTCCTATGCCTGGAGATAAATTATATTGTTGTTCTTGTGAGTGTGTTTTAGATAATTCGGGGTTCACGTGTTCCTATGCCTGACGATCAATTCTATTGAATTGTTGCTGTGTGTGTGTTGTAGATAAGCCGAGGTTCACATGTTCCTTTGCCTGAAGATAAATTATATTGTTGTTATTGTGTGTGTTGTAGATAAGCCGAGGTTCACGTGTTCCTTTGCCTGAAGATACATTATATTGTAGATGTGTGTGTGTTGTAGATAAGCCGGGATTCACGTGTTCCTATGCCTGAAGATAAATTATATTGTTGTTGTTGTGTGTGTGTTGTAGATAAGCCGGGGTTCACGCGTTCCTATGCCTGAAGATAAATTATATTGTTTTTATTGTGTGTGTGTTGTAGATAAGCCGGGGGTCAGGTGTTCCTATGCCCGAAGATAAATTATATTGCTGTTATTGTGTGTGTGTATTGTAGATAAGCCGGGGGTCAGGTGTTCCTATGCCTGAAGATAAATTATATTGTTTTATTGTGAGTGTGTTGTAGATAAGCCGCGGTTCACGTGTTCCTATGCCTGAAGATAAATTATATTGTTGTTGTTGTGTGTGTGTGTTGTAGATAAGCCGGGGTTCACGTGTTCCTATGCCTGAAGATCAATTCTATTGTGTTATTGTTGTGTGTTGTAGATAAGCCGGGATTCACGTGTTCCTATGCCTGAAGATAAATTACATTGTTGTTGTTGTGTGTTGTAGATAAGTTGTAGATAAGCCGGGGTTCACGTGTTCCTATACCTGAATATCAATTCTATTGTTGTTGTTGTGTGATGTAGATAAGCCGGGATTCACGTGTTCTTATGCCTGAAGTTAAATTATATTGTTGTTGTTGTGTGTGTGTTGTAGATAAGCCGGGGTTCACGTGTTCCTATGCCTGAAGATCAATTATATTGTTTTTGTTGTTGTGTGTTGTAGATAAGCCGGGATTCACGTGTTCCTATGCCTGAAGATAAATTACATTGTGTGGTTGCTGTGTGTTGTAGATAAGCCAGGGTTCACGTGTTCCTATGCCTGAAGATCAATTATATTGTTTTTATTGTGTGTGTGTTGTAGATAAGCCGGGGGTCAGGTGTTCCTATACCCGAAGATAAATCATATTGCTGTTATTGTGTGTGTGTTGTAGATAAGCCGGAGGTCAGGTGTTCCTATGTCTGAAGATAAATTATATTGTTTTTATTGTGAGTGTTGTAGATAAGCCGGGGTTCACGTGTTCCTATGCCTGAAGATAAATTATATTGTTGCTGTGTGTGTGTGTGTTGTAGATAAGCCGGGGTTCACGTATTCCTATGCCTGAAGATCAATTCTATTGTGTTATTGTTGTGTGCTGTGGATAAGCCGGGATTCACGTGTTCCTATGCCTGAAGATAAATTCTATTATTGTTGTTGTTGTTGTGTATGTGTGTTGTAGATAAGCCGGGGTTCACGTGTTCCTATACCTGAATATCAATTCTATTGTTGTTGTTGTGTGCTGTAGATAAGCCGGGATTCACGTGTTCTTATGAGTGAAGATAAATTATATTGTTGTTGTTGTGTGTGTGTTGTAGATAAGCCGGGATTCACGTGTTCCTATGCCCGAAGATAAATTCTATTATTGTTTTTGTTGTTGTGTGTTGTAGATAAGCCGGGGTTCACGTGTTCCTATGCCTGAAGATAAATTATATTGTTGCTGTGTGTGTGTTGTAGATAAGCCGGGGTTCACGTGTTCCTATACCTGAATATCAGTTCTATTGTTGTTGTTGTGTGCTGTAGATAAGCCGGGATTCACGTGTTCCTTTTCCTGAAGATAAATTCTATTGTTGCTGTGTGTGTGTTGTAGATAAGCCGGGATTCACGTGTTCCTTTGCCTGAAGATCAATTATATTGTGTTATTGTTTTGTGCTGTAGATAAGCTTGGGTTCACGTGTTCCTATGCCTGAAGATCAATTATATTGTGTTATTGTTGTGTGCTGTAGATAAGCCGGGGTTCACGTGTTCCTATGCCTGAAGACAAATTATATTGTTGTTGTGTGTGTGTTGTAGATAAGCCGCGGTTCACGTGTTCCTATGCCTGAAAATCAATTATATTGTTGTTGCTGTGTGTGTGTTGTAGATAAGCCGGGGTTCACGTGTTCCTTTGCCTGAAGATCAATTATATTGTTGTTGCTGTGTGTGTGTTGTAGATAAACCGAGGTTCACGTGTTCCTATGCCTGAAGATCAATTCTATTGTTGTTGTTGTGTGTTGTAGATAAACCGGGGTTCACGTGTTCCTTTGCCTGAAGATCAATTATATTGTTGTTGCTGTGTGTGTGTTGTAGATAAGCCGGGGTTCACGTGTTCCTATGCCTGAAGATCAATTATATTGTTGTTGTTGTGAGTTGTAGATAAGCCGGGGTTCACGTGTTCCTATGCCTGAAGATAAATTATATTGTCGTTATTGTGTGTGTGTTGTAGATAAGCCGGGGTTCACGTGTTCCTATGCCTGAAGATAAATTACATTGTTGTTGTTGTGTGTTGTAGATAAGCCGTGGTTCACGTGTTCCTATGCCTGAAGATAATTTACATTGTTGTTGTGTGTTGTAGATAAGTCGGGGTTCACGTGTTCCTATGCCTTAAGATAATTTACATTGTTGTTGTTGTGTGTTGTAGATAAGTCGGGGTTCACGTGTTCCTATGCCTGAAGATAAATTATATTGTCGTTATTGTGTGTGTGTGTGTTGTAGATAAGCCGGGGTTCACGTGTTCCTATGCCCGAAGATAAATTACATTGTTGTTGTTGTGTGTTGTAGATAAGCCGGGGTTCACGTGTTCCTATGCCCGAAGATAAATTACATTGTTGTTGTTGTGTGTTGTAGATAAGCCAGGGTTCACGTGTTCCTATGCCTGAAGAGAAATTACATTGTTGTTGTTGTGTGTTGTAGATAAGCCGGGGTTCACGTGTTCCTATGCCTGAGGATAAATTACATTGTTGTTGTTGTGTTGTAGATACGCCGGGGTTCACGTGTTCCTATGCCTGAAGATAAATTACATTGTTGTTGTTGTGTGTTGTAGATAAGCCGGGGTTCACGGGTTCCTATGCCTGAAGATAAATTATATTGTTGTTGTGTTTTGTAGATAAGCCGGGGTTCACGTGTTCCTATGCCTGAAGATAAATTATATTGTTGTTGTTGTGTGTGTGTTGTAGATAAGCCGGGGTTCACGTGTTCCTATGCCTGAAGATCAATTATATTGTTGTTGTGTGTTGTAGATAAGCCGGGATTCACGTGTTCTTATGCTTGAAGATCAATTATATTGTTGTTGCTGTGTGTGTGTGTTGTAGATAAGCCGGGGTTCACGTGTTCCTATGCCTGAAGATAAGCGAGGTTTCAGTGACAGTCTCGACATTGATATGTAACGGTCAACAGCTTCCAAAATCGGAACTATTGGAGTGGACAATTAGTTGAGAGCAATATGTTAATGGACGTCGATACAATGTGGACAGCAGCATTTCATGCTTTGATTAAGGATCATTATGTAACAGTCATGGACAAAAGTGGAGAGTACATTCAGTGACGTGCCATAAGTCTTTCTAGCAACGTCATTTTGTCATTGGATTCTATTTCAAGTTTCTTTTTCTAAAATTAATTTACTTGTCTTCTTTAACGAAATCTGGCACAGTGCTACATGATTATCTAGTGCTTCCGTCGGTAACATTAAACAAACTTATTTAATTCATAAATGTCTAACTATGATTGATAAATTGGTCAAAACATTTTTAAAATATAGCATTGTGTCTATGGGATTGGCGTCAATGTAAAACTTATGCTGGAAGGGAAAGAGATAGCTCAGTAGCATGGATAACAGTATAAGTAGCTGTAACAGGATATGAAGGTTATTTTCAAAACTGTATGTCAAAGAAACTCACGATTTTATAATAAAAGTAAATCAACATTTACCCCCATGGGAAAATTACCTGATGTGAAAGGCTTACGGCACGTCACTGCATTTATCACATACCTATGTAATCTTACAATAGTAATACAACAATTTTCTGTTTATGTGTTCTGTCGGTTTGTATCACACATGTGTGATACAAGATGTTGTATCACCATACTAGCCGGAACTACTTTTTATGGGAATTCCTTTGTCATTGCGAGCTGAAAAGTTCCGGTATTTGCAAAAATATCAAAGTTTATAAAATCTGTGTATCGATCTCTACTAAATACGGAAGGCATGTGATAAAAGCAAGACCACACACTTGTGTTTTTCTAACGAATCAGAAAGCACGAGTTTATTGCGAGGACGAATATATTCACGAGTGCGCGGAAATAACTATAAAAATAAATTAAACATCAAAATAAACACTTGATTGTCATGTTGTTGGTTTTTTTGCTTTTTATGGGGGGTGAGTAAAAAGAAAAAAGTAAAAAAATAATTTCCAACAGAAAATTGTCAAAATATAACCAAAAGTGTTGTTTCCCTATATAACCTATAGTCAACTTTACCCCCTCCCCAAGGGGGAACTGATAGCTCGGGGGTCCTGAATTTTACAATTTAAATAAAGCCCCTGATGATCTTTCCATCCATGCAGAGAAAATGACTGTAGTATAGGACTCTGAGTCTGGGGAAGAATATTTTTGAAAAATTGGTTAAATTTCCCTTTGGGGCCCCGCCCTGGCCCGGGGGCGAGTAAAAAGAAAAAAGTAAAAAAATAATTTCCAACAGAAAATTGTCAAAATATACCAAAAAGTGTTGTTTCCTTATATAAACTATAGTCAACGTTACCCCCTCCCCAAGGGAGAACGGATAGCTCGGGGGTCCTGAAATTTACCATTTAAATAAAGCTCCTGATGATCTTTCCATCCATGCAGAGAAAATGCCTGTAGTATAGGACTCCGAGTCTGGGGAAGAAGATTTTTGAAAAAAAAAATGGTTAAATTTCCCTTTGGGGCCCCGCCCTGGCCCGGGGGCGAGTAAAAAGAAAAAAGTAAAAAAATAATTTCCAACAGAAAATTGTCAAAATATACCAAAAAGTGTTGTTTCCTTATATAAACTATAGTGAACGTTACCCCCTCCCCAAGGGAGAACGGATAGCTCGGGGGTCCTGAAATTTACAATTTAAATAAAGCTCCTGGTGATCTTTCCATCCATGCAGAGTAAATGACTGTAGTATAGGACTCTGAGTCTGGGGAAAAAGATTTTTGAAAAATTGGTTAAATTTCCCTTTGGGGCCCCGCCCTGGCCCGGGGGCGAGTAAAAAGAAAAAAGTAAAAAAATAATTTCCAACAGAAAATTGTCAAAATATCCCCAAAAGTGTTGTTTCCCTATATAAACTATAGTAAACTTTACCCCCTCCCCAAGGGAGAACGTATAGCTCGGGGGGCCTGAAATTTACAATTTAAATAAAGCCCCCGGTGATCTTTTTTTTCCATACGGAGAAAATGACTGTAATACCTCTGAGTCTGGAGAAGAAGATTTTTGAAATATTGGTTAATTTTCCCTTTTGGGCCCCGCCCTGGCCCCTAGGGTTGGGGTAGGAATCCCAATTTCACAATTAAAAACCACCTTCTTCAAGGATAATTCTCACCAAATAAGAATAATTTCCAACAGAAAATTGTAAAAATATAACCAAAAGTGTTGTTTCCCTATATAACCTATAGTCAACTTTAGCCCCTCCCCAAGGGGGAACTGATAGCTCGGGGGTCCTGAATTTTACAATTTAAATAAAGCGCCTGATGTTCTTTCCATCCATGCAGAGAAAATGACTGTAGTATAGGACTCTGAGTCTGGGGAAAAAGATTTTTGAAAAATTGGTTAAATTTCCCTTTTAGGCCCCGCCCTGGCCCCTAGGGTTGGGGTAGGAATCCCAATTTCACAATTAAAAACCACCTTCTTCAAGGATAATACTCACCAAATAAGAATAATTTCCAACAGAAAATTGTCAAAATATAACCAAAAGTGTTGTTTCCCTATATAAACTATAGTAAACTTTACCCCCTCCCCAAGGGAGAACGTATAGCTCGGGGTTCCTGAAATTTACAATTTAAATAAAGCCCCCGGTGATCTTTTTTTTTCCATACAGAGAAAATGACTGTAATACCTCTGAGTCTGGAGAAGAAGATTTTTGAAATATTGGTTAATTTTCCCTTTTGGGCCCCGCCCTGGCCCCCAGGGTTGGGGTAGCGGTCCCAATTTTACAATTTAAAACCATCTTCCTTCAAGGATAATTCTCACCAAGTAAGAATAATTTCCAACAGAAAATTGTCAAAATATAACCAAAAGTGTTGTTTCCCTATACAAACTGTAGTAAACTTTTCCCCCTCCCCAAGGGAGAACGGATAGCTCGGGGGTCCTGAAATTTACAATTCAAATAAAGCTCCTGATGATCTTTCCATCCATGCAGAGTAAATGACTGTAGTATAGGACTCTGAGTCTGGGGAAGAATATTTTTGAAAAATTGGTTAAATTTCCCTTTTAGGCCCCGCCCTGGCCCCTAGGGTTGGGGTAGGAATCCCAATTTCACAATTAAAAACCACCTTCTTCAAGGATAATACTCACCAAATAAGAATAATTTCCAACAGAAAATTGTAAAAATATAACCAAAAGTGTTGTTTCCCTATATAAACTATAGTAAACTTTACCCCCTCCTCAAGGGAGAACGTATAGCTCGGGGGTCCTGAAATTTACAATTTAAATAAAGCCCCCGGTGATCTTTTTTTTCCATACAGAGAAAATGACTGTAATACCTCTGAGTCTGGAGAAGAAGATTTTTGAAATATTGGTTAATTTTCCCTTTTGGGCCCCGCCCTGGCCCCTAGGGTTGGGGTAGGAATCCTAATTTTACAATTCGGTAGCCTCATCTACCAAGGATGATTCTGACTAAGTTTGAAAAAAATCCATCCACTGGTTCTTGAGAAGAAGTTGATAATGTAAAAAGTTTACGCACAAAGACGGACGGAAAGTGATTGGAATAGGTCACTTGAGCAAAGCTCAGATATATTGAAAAATATCGACGTATTAGCGGTGTTAAAAATAAGATATTTCTTCTATAATGATGCAAAAGATTTCATGGATCAAAATATGTGAGTTGCCCTCCTATCAATGTTTATTTTCTTAAGAATTGTATATTTTTTTATTTTTTTTTGTTAATTATATAGTTTGATTTTATTTGATGTACGACTTTTGTACCGTGTTTATCTGCAAAACCGAGAAATAAAGATATCGAGCTTAATCTTTTGATAAACAAACTGTGACAGATTTATACCAAGTGCTTTAAACCTGGTATTTAAGCGCACAGCAATTACAAAGACATAACGTCACGCTACCACAATTGGTACACGGTCAGATAATGGTTCGAATAGTACTTTAAAATAAAATTTGAGCATTTTCCTTTATCAGTATATCAAAAAAGATATTTATCGGCATTTCCACCGAATAGTTTTGTTTTCAGGATCATTTTAAGAGTACACGATGACTTTAAAGTAAACATATCAGAAAACTAGTAAAAAGGTCGTGCGTCGACGAATATGTGGAGGACTTGGAAGGGGTTAAATATAAGCATGTTTAAATGTGGATTTCCGTATTACAGGATAATATAAAAGTGAATATATACAATTATAGTTCAGTATGGTATCTATAAAAGCAATATATTTTGTTGTTATCGGCACATCAACTTATAGAAATAAAAACAAGTTTCCTAGTTTGTGATATGGTGTACCAATTTGGGTACTAATTACGGCCGAAAAACGGACGAAATCTCACTGCGAGTTTACCGTTCTATTTTCAAAAACAAACTTCTTAGATATAAAACATTTCCTGAAATTGAACCACCATAGGTAGTCTGTGTCAATAATCAAGAAACATTCCAGATTCAAGATCTGAATTTTTAAAGATCACTTAAAAACTGTCAAAATTGTACCAATTGTGGTAGCGTGACGTTAGGACAAGTAATTAGGCACATTTTGACCTTTTTATTTATTTTTATTTACAGTGTACAGGGAATATTTTTATTTAGGAGATTGATGTTATATAAGACAAAATTAATAACAACATATCTATTTTACTCCTTGTGTTGGTAACGAGCTTGATCAAGCCTGCAGACATGGAAACCAGAGGGACATGAGTAGCATCAGGTGTGCGACAACCACCGAACACGGGCTTCCTTGAAGACCAACCTTAACAATCAAGACGCGTTTGTGCACGATGGATTTTATCAGCTCTAGATGAAATCTTTAGATTGTCAAGACTGGCGTTTAATTCTGAATACAACAGGGGGAGATACCAACGATCGTGAACGATCTAATCAAGTGCTTGGGGAAGTGGTTTGATACTGAATGACTGCAAGAATAGCAAACAATTACAGACAGCGGATGAGGCAAAACAGGACTGACGGGGGAAATTCAAGTATGGGATTTACTAGCAACCGATTTGTTTTCATCTGATTTGGACTTTCTCACTGTATGAGGTCATCACGACTACAGTGGAGGTTCCTGAGGAAAATAAGAAAATGCCTTCGAAGATAGTTACAGCTCCCACTACCATCATGGGTGGAAGAATTCTATGTGGTTAAGTATAGGTTGCTGAAGACCAGAAGTTCCAAATGTGGAAAATGTCAGTTGGTAGCAGGAAGATGGTTCAAGATGACATCAGAAAGATAGAGGAGATTGGGTAATCAAAAAAGGAAGAGATGTGAACGCAAGGATCATGGACGATATACGACTTGCATGGTCAGATATATGAAAGTTGGAACCATGAAGGAGCCATTTCCCTCTACGACCGAAGAACGGCGTTACTAACACCTACAGCCCTTCATTAATTGTTGACAAAAAACCTTAATTGTGAAAAGTGTGACCAAATCGGTATCCTGGTCCACGTACTGTCGGTTTGCAACACCACTTTGACCCAGGGCGATATCGGAAAAAAACATGACACAGTTTTGCTGGAGCTAGCTGAGACGCTGCAGGTGGAAACAGAACAACTCTACATCAAATATTAGAGACGAGTAAATTGGCAGTAATTCAACAGAGAGGGATACTTGTATGTAGCTTAGAGTTGAGAGATACGGATAGAATTGCGACAACGGATAAGCTTCCTAGAAATCGTCAAAATTAATCCACGACCAGATATTCTACTCTAGTAACAGCAAGGGAAACGAATGGTCATGGGATGCTGACCATTCCCTATTTGGAACAATTTGAGAAGACTGGTGCTTGAGCGTAAGAAAGGAAAGTACGTTAACTTCGCCGATGACATAACAACAAATAGATCGATAATGTTAATCTTCACTGTCGAGATGGGATGCAGGGTTT